ATAAATAAATAAATAAATATTGTTAAAAGTCTGACCTAATTTTTTTCAGTTACCTCTGCATGGTGTCCTCACGATCGTTTCTCCAAACGTGATGGTAACGACTGAAACGCTCAAGAGCAGAAACTACTTCCTGCACAAAAACATCAAACCATAAATGTGTACTTAAAGTAGATTATGATTTCTTCTATCTGTTCTACAGCGTATAAATATTCAGTGCCAGCTACCTTCTTGGTAGAGGTAATGGAGGAGCTGAGAACAGACACCAACTTAACTATCTCCTTGTTCTCGGACACATTCTTGTAGCAATTTCTGGCCTGGAATGGGATGGGCTGGATCGAGGATGCAGTGTCTGAAATGCTGCCCTCTGGAAAGAATGGAAGACAGAAATTATGTTTTCATAAAACATGCACATTTGTAAAGACGCATGTACAATATTTTTATTATTCATTTTAAAAGATTTTTTGAATAAGCTCAAACAACGTTTTTGGTAAATGTGAATTAAAGACCAGTTCTTTCTGAACAAAATTTAAAACTTTTTTCCTTTCCAAAGTTTCTGACAAATCATGTCACCTCCATCAACATGTCTGTCTAGTCTGGGCTTTGCTCTACTGAGCTGTGAAATAGAGAGATATGATTGAATGTTGTAAAAAGTACAAGCAAGGAGATGATATGAATAAATGTCAAGGAAGATAAATTGCTGTGTTGTTATTTTACTCGTGTTTGGTTAAGTCTATTGTTTTCTGTTCCTATACCAGCCACACTCATGTGTGTTGTCCCATCCTCTGATTCACTCCCAGAACCGTCTTGTTTCACAGCTGCCAATCGAKTTTCATGAATGTTTTTCTATAAAGAAAAAAAGAAGAGACCTCAGTAGTTTGACAGAAATATCACCATCAAAGAAAAACAAACAAAAATCAATTAAGTTACAATTGTAATACAAATGAAATGCTGCTTTTATCCAATCAAATGTACCTTGGAAATTCTGTCTTTACTCCACTGGCTCACTCCTTTGCTCACACTGACCACACAATCCACARCCTGGTTCAGAGCCTGCTGGACATGCTCCAGAGCCGGAACCATGGCAATATTGGGTATGGAGAGGGTCACATTGACTCTGAAGATGGGCTGCTGACCACTGCTTTTCCCAWGGCTGAGTGAATCACTCTCACCTGTCAAGGGAGAGGGAAACTAATAAATCTTAAAGATGAAATGTTATAAGCTCAACATAAAAAACAACAACATAAGCTTGTCATTGCATGGATTAACAACAATAAAATGACAATTAGCTTTTGTAATTTTAAAAATGCTATATGAAAAGTTTCCAACAATAAGGCCGGACCCACTAAGAAAAGGCATGAGGGACGTAGTGTGCATTCTCTTGCATATCGTCTCCAAAGTGTTGCGTGTCACTCTGAGCAGGGCATCTACAGTGCGATGGTTGAAGTAGGACAGCAGCTCCTGGGCTGCTTCTTCCATTACTTCCATCAGATTCTTCTTCTTCCTCCTCCTCACAAAGGGAGACGAAGGACCAACACTGGCAGAAAGGCCCAATGTGTTTCTAGTGAAGAGACGGCCCTGTGAGTGGCGCCCATCTTCTCCTAAGGAGGCAACATGTTAGTTGTGAATATCAACAACTTTATTTCCTTTGATGTGTTGAAGAATTGTAAATACAATATGGATTTTAAAGTTTTAATGTGGATCAAAGTTTACAAAGCTTGGTGAGGGATTCCAAACATCCCGCACAAGATACAACCTTCAGTGTTAAGGTGGTCCATGGTCTTTTTCTCACTGCTGCTTTCTGCCTCCACCTTCTCCGTGTCCTCTTTCTGACTATGGTCAAACTCCATCAGCATGTTGATCAGTTCATTGGCAGCCTCCTCCACAAGTGTGCTTTTAATGTGTAGAGTCTGAGCTTGTTTAATGCACAAGTCCTACACAAACACACATATACATACAGTGAGGTTGTAACTAACATCAAGTTCAATGTAATAACATAACTGTCTAATGATAAAGCTTTCTTTCTTGTAAACAAATGTAATTAGTTTTTATTTTATTTTATTTACCCTGGTTGTTTTAACAAATTCACCACAAGTGACAGGTTCATCCTCTGGTAGAACGCACAGTATGGAGCTGCTCATCTCCTGCAACACTGCATCGATTCTAAACTCCACCAAGTCATTCACTCTGTCCAGCAACAGCTCCAAATCGACTGAAGACACACAGGATCAAGATGAAAAAAAGTGTGTTTGTGTAGATTCTGAGTCAGAACAAGTTTTAATCCACACAACTGGATTTCTTTTGTTTGTTAAATGTGTCAACTCTCTAAAAAAAACTTTCTCAATTCAAATACAGAGCAGGATAGAGGAAAAACAGAAAAGGAAAGGAAAAAAATGTCAGAGATGTGAGAGCAAAAAAAAAAGAACTCTTGTGGGTTAAGGGTTAAATAAAATCTACAATGTGGAATAAGGAGAGCAGTTTTACACTTTAATGAATTTGTTCTCACAAACAACCCAGTGTAAATGTTTTCACATGCTGCCATTGCTGACTTGCAGGATGTCTTATGTGTCAGCATATGAGGCATCGATCTGACTTAAAAATTTATGCTTACCCAATGTTTTTTCAATGGAGCCTAAATAGTTATCTATATTCAGAGATGTCCAGTTGAGGATGATCAAACCTGGCTGTATGGCTTCATCTACCTGTAAAGCAAGAGATTTATGTCATTGTTTTAAAAAAACTCAAACTTATTTGTATTTTTTTCCAAATCCTATAAAAACAATATATATAAATAAATGTCTATTTATTGGTATTTGTCATATTCCAGTTTAGGTTTGCAAACTTTTTTTTCTTATGAAACTGAATTATGAAAGAAGTATTGTGTGCTGTAGAAACAAAATCTATACTTTTTTTAAGTTCATGTATCTCAAGTTTAGTGATGATTAAGTCAAACCTGTGCAGTTTATCTTCAATGTAAACCCCTGTTTACTTTTTAAAGTGCTAATAAATACAGGTGAAATATTCTTTGTTTTATTTGACTGAAAAAGCAAGTCCTATTTCTTCAGTTCTCCTACAATTTGACAACTATAAAATAATTCAACATTTACATGTTTTCTATCACTCAAAATATTACTGTATATTGATCTCACTCTCTCTCTCTCTCTCACTCTCTCTCAAAACACTCTACACACACTAATTGTTATGATTGTTCTTGTTTAAATACATCACATATCATACCGGAATTTTAAATTCAGATAATTTTAATTTGAAAAGATTTAAAACTTGAGTTATAGCAATTTTGATCAAATCTTAAAATGAATGTTGTCTGTAGCAGCTACCTAGAAAAGAGTTGACTTCACAAGTTAATGAGTTCTAAAGGTGCATCCAAGGATAACTGAGATTTTCCATTACAATTCATCCAGTGGCTTATGAGAAATTATAACAACAATTAAAAGTACACATACACAAGTGAACACACACAATGACATTACTGCTTGACTTTCATAACAGCAAACAGTACGTACAACAGATGCTGAGGATATTAAGACAAAAAAAGTTTAAATATTTTATAGAAAGAAAAAAATCCAGTGACTTAACACCTATTCACGAAGCAAACCAAACATAAGACTAACTACTAAAATTTGTTCTTTCAGTCTTTCAAACTATAAATTACCAGTAAGTTTAAAATTCGAATAAATATGAGTAACTATAATTTACATTAGGCTAGATGTAAAATGTAATTTTACACAATGGTAAAAAACAATAAATCAAACAAGAAATTAAATAATTGTTTCATCACAAATTAGATAAGTATACGACATGGTGAAGAAACCTCAAATTATGTTTAATACGCCTACTTGTCAGTGACACATGGGACTTATTACAGCTCACCTTTGCAACATGTGGCATAGCCAGCTGTTCAAAAGCAGCCTGAATCTTAGCTCGAACTCTGGTGTTCTCACTCAGCATCAACTGTGAAAAAGGTTACACAACACACAATTGTTTCTTTGCATTACTTTTTCCCCATGGTCCTACAGTCTTGCGCTCAGTTTCAACCATCTACTGGCACAAAAACTGATCATATATATATATACATATATACATACATACATTACATACGGTACATTACATACGGTACATTACATACGGTACATTACATACATACCATACATACCATACATACCATACATACATACATACATACATACATACATACATACATACATACATACATACATACGTACATTAAATTATTGTGAATACCCACCTGTAATTTATCATAGTTTTTCTTGAGTGTGATCTCCTTCTGGCCCAATGAAGCAGCAAAGGGAGGGATATCTAAATTCAATTGCATCATGCAGTTTGCCTCCCTGATCTGTGTCAGTATCTCTGGGTCAAAGTTCACAACCAGTTTTCTAGTTTTTGGATCCCTGACCAACAGTGTGGCCTTCAGGCCTGCTATGGCTTGCTCCACCTGTGCAGGAAAGAAAGGTAAAATGGGGTGTATTGTAGTGTGTATTGTCTGTGAACAAAAAGGACAAAGGGAGTTCAAACCGTGAAAAAGTAATATCAGTGATCAGTGTTTCCCCTAGGACACTGGTCTGGGGGGGGGGGGGGGTACTTGTTTTATAAAAACATAAATTTACGTGACTCACCTGCAATTATGGTAATAAATTTACACATACATGAAAACTTAATTGCCTAACTACATCCTAGTTAAGGACTCCTCATGATAATTATCAATAAAATTCCTATAATAAATGATTAGAACTGTGAGCAGCAGATGATCTGAGTCCAGAGTTCTCAGTTCTCAACCTTCTGGAGCTCTTCTGTGTGACTCTAGGTGTGACAGAGTGTGGATGGTTGATTGTCTCTTTGTGTCCCTGATGGAGACTGGAGACCTGTCCAGGTGTCTCTGGTGAACTGGAGACCTGTCCAGGTGTCTCTNCCCCCCCCCCGCGTCGCGCAATTATTACTGATTTTTTTGCGCGAATTACAGATATTTGATGGTCTTTAAACACGTAAACGTCTGAAGGGGTTGACATGTATGAACTCCCGGGCTGGTTGGAGCTGCGCTGCAGGTGGACAGGTTCAGCTGCTGTAAAGTCACTGCCCCTCGCTTTAAAAACATTCAGCTGATCCGTCGCGGTTTTGTTGTGCTGGTGACGTGAACACATAGGGGAAATGCTGCAAAGTGCTTTTAGAAATATAATAAAATTTGTAGTGTCTAAGAGTGGGGGCCTCTTCTCAGGAATGCACAGATGTGTTATGCCTCTCAGTTCTCCAGCTTCAGAGCTCGGCACACATTACCATATTAGGAAAAGGAATGTTTAAGGTATGCCGTGACTAAATTTATGGTACATCTGTTGGACTGCACTGTGAAACCTATAAAAAGCCTTGTACGCCCCTACCCTTCGCCTTCGTTCTTCATCTTTTTACTTTGGTGATTCATTTGGCTAGAAGGCCACAATTTGATTTTTGGCTGTAATCTCCTGGACTGCAAAATAAAGATTCTTGCTGTTCAACCAGCCTGTTTCAGAGTTTCTCTCTTCTTTGAGCAGTAGCAGTTCCGCTGAACCCAGAAGACGTGGTTTTTACATCTCAATATAAAATACGACGTAATCCTCGGTGGAAAATAGTCCGGGAAACGTGGGAGGTGTTCACCTGCAGCTGTGTGAAGCTGACCCCCCACCCACAGAGAAAGGAAAAAAGGCAGTAATTATTAAGGTTAAGGTAAGCATGCTGTGGCTTCACCTGTTGCACTTTTTAAAGAAAGAAAAAGTAGCTTGCAAAGCTGTCGCATCGGTGCTACGTGATTAGAAGCAGAGCTTTCATTGCCGTCTAATCTCACACACACGTCTTCCTCTCTTTGTGAGGACCACACAGCGCTCAGCCTCGCTCTGCGCCGTCTTTTTCCCCAAGTTTGCCGAGAGGTGGATATGGAGGGTCGCAAATAATAGCTCTCGACTTGATCTGGCCTTATTTAAATAAAAATGACTACATGCCATGAAATTCTTAGAGGGGCGGGCCGTCTCGTTGGGGGGCGGGCCGTC